CGAATATATATTTTGGCGAATATATATTTTGGCGAATATATATTTTGGCGAATATATATTTTGGCGAATATATATTTTGGCGAATATATATTTTGGCGAATATATATTTTGGCGAATATATATTTTGGCGAATATATATTTTGGCGAATATATATTTTGGCGAATATATATTTTGGCGAATATATATTTTGGCGAATATATATTTTGGCGAATATATATTTTGGCGAATATATATTTTGGCGAATATATATTTTGGCGAATATATATTTTGGCGAATATATATTTTGGCGAATATATATTTTGGCGAATATATATTTTGGCGAATATATATTTTGGCGAATATATATTTTGGCGAATATATATTTTGGCGAATATATATTTTGGCGAATATATATTTTGGCGAATATATATTTTGGCGAATATATATTTTGGCGAATATATATTTTGGCGAATATATATTTTGGCGAATATATATTTTGGCGAAATGGTCGATGGCGACAGTGACTCGTAAACTTTTAACTAGATAGGGGAATTTTCCGAGATAAAAAAAATCCCCACACGTTCTCGCTCACTTGAAAAAGAAAACAACTTGAGAGAAAGCAGCTTTTAAGTTCCATATGCAGACGTTGGTATTTGAGCGATGTACCCAAGTTTATCTTGGTTGATATTGTCTATGTGTTTCAATAAAACAAACTATCTTACATGATCGTTTGTTTATGCATATCGCGCGTAGCTGTAACATCACTCTCGTGGAAGCTCTACAAACCAGGAAATGCTTGGCTTGAAGTCAAAGCAGCGAGTACCCCGGCCAACTAAGCCTTGCACGGTGGCAGCAATTCGCCGGTTAAAAAATTCTCTGACCTTTTGGCCTCTGTGTCTCTCCTGTGTATGCGTGTGTTCCTCTACCATTACTTTACTGATTGAATTGATTATAAGAGCTTTGGGTCCGTCATGAAATTGCCCAAAATTGCGAAGAGGAAGGATGCTTTTTTAACAGAGTCAGTGTAAGCTGTGTGTCAAACATTTTTTTCGGTGATGATTGCAAGTTGAAACTCGTCTAATAGGCTTAAATCGCCGACATTCAAATTCCGAGAGAAAAGACTCGCCGGCTGTTTTGTTAAGTTCTTATCCATGTAATACGATTGATACTACAACCACATTATTTTTAAATCCTTTTCAACAACAATTGTCGCGTGAAAGATTGCGAAAGTTCATACTGAGTTCGAGCTCCTTTTGTGAGCACTGTTATCATAAAGAGCAGCTGAGTATTTCTTCATGCTATGAACTTAAATAAACAATCAAAAAATCTAGGACTCGTTTACCTCAAGCAAGGTACTACTAGTGGCACAAATTTTAGTATGCTCCTTTTTTTTACCCGGCCATAATGTTTCCGCCTCTCCATCTCTAACGCAATATTGAACTTTCGCTATTCAACCTTTCAACTCAGTTTTTGGACGGAAAGGAAGCTTACTTATTTGAACGAGAATGTCAAGCAACATTTTCTTCTTGAACTGCCAATAACTTTTGACCCTGATTATGATAGACTGGAACTACAGTTATCACCGACCGAAGGTAGTGACACAATTTCTTCTAACTAGCTCCTCCGCCTTTGTCATTTGCTGTACAGCAGAGTTCGTTCAGTTTGAAGATCAACATTGCTTTAGGGAGATCGAGGGAAAAGGGTAAATACTTTTTTTCAAACATTTTTTTTTTATTTATGCTTTTAAAAATGAGGAACGCTACGAGAACACTAACGATAAAACTTGTTACATCACAGCCTACGATCACCTGATTACAGACCGTTGGCGCCTGCAGTACAGAAATTACAAAATGATGCTGTAATAATATTTTTCAATACATGATAAAGAATAAAAAATATATATATTAAAACATTTACACCATTCATAGTACAGTACTTACACCAGAATACATGCAATGGAATTCTGCTTGCATGGCTTGCAATGCTCTCTCTATATTAGGCTAATCGCTTTTTGTGTTTATTTGTAGAAAAAAAGGTAGACTTAACTTTGGACTTAACGGCGGCTTCCGCTCTGAAAGAGCCACGATCCTGACCAAAGCCCTGGTCAAAATCTTACTTCGGTTTTCATCTTCTATTTGTATGTAAACATTGCACTGATTTTGCTGTTCCATGGCCAATCAAATGTTAGAGAAACTGGCCCTGATAGCGACTGAAGCCAATAAATAGAAAAGTGGTTTTGTCTCGAATGATCCCAAATGAATCCTTATAGAAGAACATGCGTGTTCAGTGGTGTTCTTGTGGGACAGATACTATAGCTGTTGTGATCCATATTTCAACTTCGACGACCACCTTTGACTTTACTTTTAGCATCTTTCAAAAATGAAAGCTAAAAAAGAAACGCGTTTGCCACGAATAAGAGAAATGTTTGCCATTTTTCTGAAGAACTCACGGTCACAAACTTAAAAAAAAAAAAAAAAAAAAAAAAAAACAAAAACAAAAAAAAACATTATAGGCTGTATACCAAGTCATAAACAAGGCATAAACTACTAAAAGTGTTTATAATGATACATATGTTATGATAACTATTATTCCACTTACGGCTTTTTTTTTACATGGCAAAAATTAAACTGTTTAATAGCTAAACGGTTTCATAAGAAAGTCGAATCAGAGCTATAGACTGCTTTGAGTCCTACGATTGCAAAGTCTGTTAAGGAGCAATAAAGCGCTTGTCAAGAGTCGATACCTCTTCATCTGTGATTTATGCCAACAAAGAATTAATGACCCTTTTTGACAAACACAGTCATTTAATTACAATTTGCCAGACCTTTCGTCTCACAAACGCTCGCAAGTTGACCGTTCGTAAAAAACAAATTTATGGTGAATATCCAAAACGCATATAACAAAAAGTTATCTTTTTTATCTAACTATACCATTAAGTTCAATGTTGTGATCCTGGGAGATGGAAAACACGTGCACTAAAATCGTATGTTAAAAACGCCCTGATTTTAGTGTTATCTACAAAAATCAAATATATATCTGCTGATAAATATTGCAGCCAAGCTTTTGACTCATTGTACCAAAACAAAGCCGGAAAGGATTTCTGACGCCATGCAGAGAATAGAATTGAAAATTCATGATTACAAATTGATGTTCCTTTATCTATCGATATGATAATAATCTGGGAACAGATGGAAATGTTTCAAAATTTCCCTGAGAATGGTTGTTATTAAACAGGCGTTTTTGAAATAATGTGTGCTTTAATAAAAAGAGCGTGCAAATATCTAACTTTTGGGCATATTCTATGCAAATAGTTCTCGTGGGATTTTCGAGAAACGATACTCGGAACTTACTGTAAGGAAACATGAACCAAACAAGAAACTTGGGATTTGAATGTTGACCAACTCGTTCCAAGCTATGTAAACTAGAGTTTATTTGCGTGGAGATCGCGAAAGGGCGTGATATAATTATCAAACTTTTTATTCTTTGGAAGAACTCAGAAAGAGAACAAATTATTTTATATTGCTGCATTTTAAGATGATAAACTTCCATGCATTATTAAAACTCATGTTTCGTTTGTGCAAAACTCAAAGGAACTCGAACTACTATGGCGCTGTAAACTCTAAAACGCAAATGCTATTATTCGAAATTTGTATGGGTCGTAAAAATGTCACTTTTGAAAAATTGCAAACTGATTCGTACAAAAGGAATATAATCCTTCGAGTATCGTGTCCAATAAACGCTGCCGCTTTCGAGAGAAGTAGATTGTCAATCACGCATCAAGGGTCGTTTGCATTGCTGAGGTTCTTGGCAGTTCGCGCGTGAAAAAGCGTTTGTTGATTTTGCGTATATTGTTATTAAGTAATTAAGAAAAACCAGCGAAAATGACTAATGACGCAAATACGTTGATGAATTATGACAGGAAAGGACCTTTCTAATTATTTTTGTTATCTGTGTAAGAGTTCATTGCCCCTATTGTTACTGCGTAATAGATTTGACTGCGAAGCCTCTATGCTCGAAAACGAAATACTATATTAATTTTTCTGTTTGATGAAAAGATACTGAGGTGACTTCATCAAGTGCTTCCGAAATTAGCTTCGAAAATAATGATTATCATCGCTCATTTTGCGTCGTAAAACGCCAAAAAAATCGCTTCGAAAATTCACTATCCCAGTCACGTATCAATGTAGTATCTAATGATGTTTTAGTACTAGAGTCAGAGGACAGTTCATAAAATTCAGGCCTGATAGTTCAGGTGACCTTTGAAGAAACCATTGCCTCTAAAGCTTGATCGTATTCCAAATATCTCGAGGTGTATTTTCGTTCATTATGCTTTGTTTAAATATATTTGTCTTCCGCAAAAAAAAAGCCGATAAACGCATAGCTGTCGCTTCTTAAAGGCTTACCAATGGCTTAAATGGTGAACTCACTCTCACGTAAACGGAGAGAAGACTGTTTTAGCGGAACAGATGATAAATTATTCCCGGCTGAAGGTGCTACGCCTACTTACAAGTGAGGTAAATTATGATTCTTTCAGGTTAATAGTTGGATAACAGATCTGAGCTGACATATAGTCTCCGCCCCAATTGCCACATATAACGCTGGTATGCATTTTTCTGTTAATTTTCCAGGGCAAAGACCTTGAAAGATACTTGTCATTGGATAGATATTTCAGCTTACGAGAGTGAAATTTCCACTAATTAAGTGATCTTTCGGCGGCATTTGTCGAAGTATTAAGACACCGAAAGAAACTCTGCTCCGGTGAGCCAAAAAGCAGCTGCACTGTGAGTTTTCGAAAAGGGAGAATACTCATGACTTCGAGGACAATGTTGATTGCTGCTTTGTTCGTGCTTGCAATTAGTGAATCCATTTTAGTCCAGTCTGCCGAGGACACCGTTGTCATTACCACGAGATATGGATCAGTTCGTGGAGTAATCCGTCGATTTCAAGGTATCAACAAACCCATCAAAACCGTGAGCAAGTTCCTTGGTATTCCGTACGCCTCGTCACCGGTCAACGAACTGCGGTTTAAACCTCCAAAGCCAGCGTCCGCTTGGCAACCCTCTACGTACAACGCCTCATACTATCGAAGTATTTGCATACAGCCTGGTGACTACAACGTACACTTCTGGCCGAATTTCTCCCATCCCGAGAGCGAGGACTGTTTGTACCTGAACGTGTATACACCCCACCATAACGAAAGTTCTGGGGACTCAAAGAAATTATACCCCGTCATGGTATACATTCACGGAGGGGGATACGAAGTGGGCACTCCCGTTGTATCCCCCGGAGACATCGTACCCCTTTGGGGGGTGGTACTCGTCACTATACAATATCGTTTGGGACCGTTTGGTTTCGTTACCACCGGCGACTCTGTGGCCCCTGGGAATTACGGGATGTTGGACCAGATCGAAGCTTTGAAATGGGTTAAAGAGAACATTGAAAACTTTGGAGGAGAGCCTTCAAGTGTTACCATATTTGGTGAAAGAGCCGGTGGGTCTAGCGTGGGTCTACATGTCCTGTCCCCTCTTTCGAAGGGCCTCTTTCACCGCGCTATTGCAATAAGCGGAGTGGAACTTTCTCCTTACGCAATCGGCTCCAGCGCAACCGCAGTTGTACATACAAACGAATTGGCCAAAAAGCTCGGGTGTGCCACGGACAAAAGCGCTGCTACTATAACATGCCTTCGCTCGAAGGAAGCTCAAGAACTCTTGGTACTGGAAAGGGCCAATATTTGGAGACCTGTGGTGGACGGCAACTTTCTTCCAGATACCCCTGAGGAGCTTAGAAAATCTGGCCGCTTCAACAAAGTCCCACTGATGGCCGGCTTTACAAGCCAAGAAGGCGCGTATTTTTTTCCGCGTCACCTCAAAACTGTCGCGCCCACAACTTTCCGCGAGAACCTGTCATTTGCTTTGAATTACATCCTCAATAAATACGGACAAACTTGGGTGGCTCCGCATAAAACTGAGGTTCCTAACTCCTTCATGGACGCAGTCATTTTTCAATACACACCTTGGCCTTACGCAAAGGACAGTTGTAAACTTAAACGCGGTTTTTCCGACGCGATCACTGATTCCTGTGTGGCGGAGCCCGCGCATGCGAGTTTGAGCTACCACAGCACGCAGCAGCCAGCTTTTCTGTACGAGTTTGCGCATCGCTCCAAGCTCAACCCAGACCCCGAATGGTTGGGAGTACGCCATAAGGACGACACACCATACCAGTTTGGTTTTCCTCTTATGAACCTCACTGTGTTACAAAATTACGACGAAGCCGACCGCAATATTAGCGACATGGTTTTAACACTTTTCACGAACTTTGCCAAATTTGGCAACCCGACACCCGAGCCCGTATTCGAGGCTTCGTGGCCGCGATTCAACCAGAGTCACTTGGATTATCTCCTGATTCAAGGAAAACTGGCGCGTGCGAGCAACTATCGACCAACTCAGATGGCATTCTGGCGTGAGTATTACAAAACATTGCTTAGTGCCCCAAAAAAATGCCCTGAAGTTGTCTCCGCGTCAAGTAAAGGAACGCAATTGAAAGATATACGACTGATAAATACTATTTTTCTCGCTTACGTGATTCTCATGTTTAGGCTGTTTTGATCCGCGCTTGGAAAGCATTTTCATAAATTCAAGTTTTATAAACAGCATAATTGCAAATTGTCTGAATCTCGATGAGAGAAGCAAAATATCACAGAATCTATAATCCTTTTTCTAATTGTAGCACAAATATTAAAAGTGATCCTATCAGTAGAGGCTAATTGATGTGTTGCGAGTGAAGTTTCGAAAATTTCTAGGTTACAGCTCGAGTCGCTTACTGCATTCCACTACGACATAAAATCCTTCTGTTAGCCTGTGTTACGAATTTACCAATATCTAGACTGTCATTCTTCAAATCAAAATGTTTTTAAACTCTGTCATTAAAACTTGCGACTAGTATCGACTAGTTATTACAATGTAAGTACTTTGTTACAAGAACTAAATCGGACTTGAAAATTTGTTCCGTTTCAGGATCAATGTCGGTGCCTGAGGAACCGCGCGCTCACCCCTTCCCTAATCCAACATTAACCCTTAATTGTTATCAGTTGACTGTTATTTGGCTAGGGGAGGGGTGGATGCGTAGTTGCCCAGATACTATAATTAGTCCGCTTTTCATTATCCAAATGAGAAATAAGGACAATGCGGCCCGATTTTATATTATAACATAACCAAAATAAAGCGCGCGCTCTGATTGGTCAATTTAGCGTCCCCCATTCTTTCGTGCTTAGCAACCTCCCGCGTGCATCCATAACTCAATAGTGTACGCTGTGGTGTTTACCATTTGTTAAATACAAATTAGTTCATTCTCCGAATCAGCATCTATGATAATGGCGCATAATGCCNTTATCCAAATGAGAAGTAAGGACAATCCGGCCCGATTTTATAATACAAAATAGTTCATTATTAATTATTAATTAATTATTAATTAATTATTAATTATTATTAATTGTTATCAGTTGACTGTTATTTGGCTAGGGGAGGGGTGGATGCGTAGTTGCCCAGATACTATAATTAGTCCGCTTTTCATTATCCAAATGAGAAGTAAGGACAATCCGGCCCGATTTTATAATACAAAATAGTTCATTATTAATTATTAATTAATTATTAATTAATTATTAATTATTATTAATTGTTATCAGTTGACTGTTATTTGGCTAGGGGAGGGGTGGATGCGTAGTTGCCCAGATACTATAATTAGTCCGCTTTTCATTATCCAAATGAGAAATAAGGACAATGCGGCCCGATTTTATATTATAACATAACCAAAATAAAGCGCGCGCTCTGCTTAGCAACCTCCCGCGTGCATCCATAACTCAATAGTGTACGCTGTGGTGTTTACCATTTGTTAAATACAAAATAGTTCATTCTCCGAATCAGCATCTATGATAATGGCGCATAATGCCATACCTATTCCTGAGAATGTTAAGTAAAGGTCGAAATCATTACTCATTATGTTAATAAAATTTACTTAAAACAACAAAAGAAATTCTGAGTTTTTACCGAATTTTATTTGAAAAAGATCTCCATCCACTTTTATTTTCTTCCAAACAAAAAAAAGATTCACTCTACCTTCAAATAACTCCCATGGCTAATGGTTCTACAAGGTAAAGACAATTACCGATCAAAGTGTCATTTAGAGCCCCAGATACCCTTGGGGAGGGGTAACTGGTGATTTGGGACCCCTCATTGTCTCTTACCTAAGGGAGGGGGGTTGATTTGGAGGATTTTGACCTCCCCTAATGCTTTGTAGTATTCTTACAACCCTCTTTAGCGATGACTGATCCCCCACCCCTCCGTTCCCCTGAAAACAATGTGATCCCCCCAGAATCCTCCCATCCCCCGCCCCGCTGACGGCGAAAAATAATGGCTAGAATTCGCCCCTGAAGTAAAATAAGTTCACCTCCACCATTTTACAGGTTCGCCCCAAAATATTTCAACTTGTTTCCTTACGGTTTCTTTATATTAAGATTTCGAAAAAAAAGAAATCTGTTCTGCCGTAGGGAAACGAGCTGAGACATTTAGGAACGTACTGGTTTTACTTCAGGGGGCGAACTCGCCTATTTGGAAGAGGGGCGAACTTACAATGGGGCGAAACTTTCATCAAGTTCTCTAACTACGTAATTCCAAGCCCTAAAGAAGTGTGGGATAACAGAACTCCATTTATCTTTCATGTTAGACTTTTTTCTTCCTAATCGTTGTGCTCTAATGAATGCATTCCTACTTCGCATCTACTTTTCTATAACACTAGCTATCTAATGTGAACATTTAGGCAAGTCGACGTCAGCGAAAAACCTTGAGCACCAGCTCGCTACAGCACCATTGCTTTTTGTTTTTCGGAACAGAGAATCTTTCTCAGACATTTACAACCTGGGTGCTACATTTTCCCCTAATTGCAGATAAATTTGTTCCCTGATAAATCGAAATATTTTCCCTATTAAGTAAAAATCATGTAAGACAAGAAGAAACAAGAAAACACGGTCAAGCTACGGACAAGGAAGCACCTATTAAGAGCACCAGATAAAGCCTGGCATGTATGAGGTTCCTCTAACAACATCCTCTCATAGAACTCATTCCAAAACGCCATTTTGGTTGGTTTGTAGTTGACTGCCATCTCAGGCTGTGATTGGATACGAAAATACACCATGTGACTCGAGTTAAATCCTTCCCACGATACACTGCTGACTGGTTGGGGAGTCGGGTTACCATATTTGGCAAAGTTTGTTAAAAGCGTGATTAACAGGTAGCTTAGGTTTCGGTCCGCCTCGTTATACTGTTGTAAAACGGTCAGATTCATTAAAGGAAAGCCGAACTGGTACGGGGTGTCATCCTTGTGTGCAGGTCCTTTCCATGAGGGCCTCAGGCTAAGCGTAGAGCTATGGGCAAATTCGTACATGAACACAGGGGCGTTTTTACTGTGAATAACCAGATCTGCGTGGGTTGGGGCACTCATGGTGAAGTCTCCGACTTCCTCTGCTAATGCAATTTTCACCTTGATGTGATCATTTTGATCAGGCCACGGTGTATACAACAACATTAAGGTATCAAGAAGACTTTTTGGAAGGTCTCCGTCCAACATCTGTCCATATTCGTTGCCAATGTTGTAAAATACCAACTTCGTTCGCTGAAGGAAATTCTCAGGCGATGCGTTGTCGAGGAGGCGTGGGAAAAAGTAGGAGCCTTCCTGGCTGGTAAACCCCGCCAAGTATGGGACATGATGGAACTTTCCAGCCTTTCTCAGCTTTCGTGGAGTGTCTAGTAGAAAGTTTCCATCAACTATGGGCCTCCACACATTTATATCCTTAACGGGGAACTTTGCAGCGTCAATCGAACGTAGACATTTGATCATGTCACCGCTCTTCTCTACGTTACAACCCATTTTTTTGGCAGCTGTCTTGCTCTGTTTCCATACATCCTCGTTTGAACCAATGGCAAAAGGGGAGAGGTCCACTCCGCTGATTGATATTGCGTGGTGAAGGAGGCTCTTCGTGAGAGGGGACAACAGCAGGAGGCCTACGCTGGACCCTCCGGCGCTCTCACCAAATACGGTAACCGCCGACGAATTACCTCCAAAGGGCTCTATGTTGTTTTGGATCCATTTTAGAGCTTTGACCTGATCCAGCATCCCATAATTTCCCGGCGCCTCTTCGTCACCTGAAGAAATGAACCCAAAAGGGCCCAAACGGTATTGTATGGTCACCAGAACGACACCCCACAGGGGGATCACATCTCCCGGACTTACGGCGGGGGTTCCGGCTTCATAGCCCCCACCGTGAATGTAAACCATTACTGGATAGAGTTCTATGGAGCTCGAGTCCCGATGTGGCGAGTACACATTAAGGTATAAGCAATCTTCGCTTTGTGGAATGGAAAAATTTGGCCAGAAGAACTCATTGTACTCAGGATCTTGAATACAGATGTTCCTAAAATACGAGGCATCGTAAATAGCTGGGTTCCAGGCCTGAGGGGGCTGCGGAGGCTTAAAACGTAACTCACCCAAAGGCGGCGCTGCAAACGGAATCCCAAGAAATTTATCCACAGCTCGGATGGGCATGTTGAGGTCATCAAAACGACGAACATTTCCCTTAATCGATCCATATTGTGTTTTCACTGTAATCAAATCATCTTCAGCAGAAGCCAAGAAACGTCCTGTGGTCATTAAAGAGGCCACTATGTAGCAGATTGTGAAGAATTCCATCGTCGTCGACTAGTCATGTAGAAAAACAGCGCTCCCTGCGTTATCCGACCAAAACAAAACAAAACAACCTTGAAGACCACTTCATATAATTGCTTGCAACCTCACACCGATAAAAGCTAGGTTATTTTAGAAGGCTCCTTCTGTTTCCATAAGTGAAAACTTAGTGACAGACAGGCTTCTTTCAACGTTCAGCTAGTTATAGAACTTGACCTCTGTTAGATAACTCAGCCAAAAGGTTTTGCAGGAGTTTATTTAAGGAAGTCGAGAACTTAATGGCCGCAATACAAACAATAATGTCTCGATAACAGAACATCATTGACCATGAATAACATCTCGTTCAAGAATAAATGATTAGCTATTAAGAAGTAATTATATTTCTCGACTCGAACAGTATTTCCCCGACGAAACGAGTGGTTCAACTTTGCTCCCATCCCACGGACTAAATTCCTCTGTAATGAGCTTCCTGATACCCAATAAGGATTTAAATTCGAAGTTACAAAAATCGTGACACATGAAATTCTAAGTTCTCTTTCCGTGGAAACAATGACGTGTTTATTTCAAGCAGGGTGGTGGGGGGGAGAGCGAAATGACAAATATTTTGGAGTCAGCTTGGGAAAAGATTTGTTATCAAACACTTCGTCGTGAAATTCATCAAGAGTTGCCAAGTTATTTTTTCGAACGTCTTAAAGATAATTAACCTTAATTCAATTACCAGCTGGATGATTTCAAAATCTTCGCTTGTGGTGGGATTTCTAGAAAGAGATAACAAATGGGTTAAGACGTCGAAAAATTCACAAAATCGATCTTTCAGGCATTTCATACGTTCCCCATCCCCCCTCCCCCACATAAAAAATTTGGTATAATGGCCTTTCAAATTCGTCGTGTGGGTTCAAAGACATAAGTGGATTGCCTGAAATAGCTTCTTTTTTTTTTAAGTAAACAGTTAAAATTCAATATTCAGGTGAAACAAATCACGCTACGAATATGTCTTGATATTCACACCAATCTCGCTCAGAGAGTCTGCCATCTTGTCCTAATGGCCATCCAATTCGTTGCAGATCTGTCCGTTTTTATCTAAAGAATGCCAATTCCCGCAAAATGGAAAATGACTTAAATCATCAGTGGAAAATGTCAGTGTTATTAAGTATCAAATGTTTTTCTAATGAATCGCCCTGTGTGACAGAAGTCCAATTTCTCAGTCCATCCGCGACAGGTGGTTACCAAATTTTCTTCCCTTTTGATCATTTTCTGAATAATTTGATAGCTCATCGCTTTTAGTTTATCGAAATACTACTCGAATTTGACGTAGTTTGAAACCAAATTCAGCATGAACTAATACCATGTTGACGTCACAAATTTTGCATCTTGAGAATATCTTATTTCAATGTTTCATGACCGGCAATCGCAATACGTAACCTTGGCCATAGTCCATACCGCTTTTCGATGGACTGCTGCCAGAGAAAAATAATCACAAAAACCCATTCGGCAAAAAGGAATAATATCCCAGTGAGGCCAAAAAGAAACTCAGAGTACAGGACTGGGGATTATTTTCTCGCCTATGAAGGGTGGAAACAACCTCGTTCCCAGAGCCTTTTCCCCCAGCTAAGGGAAAAAGCCCTGGGAACGAGGTTGGAGTGGAAAGGGGCGGTCGAAAGATTTTTCCCGAGCTTCGCTCTCGGAAAACATTTCGCATCTTAGAATAGATTTTGTCCGTGGAAAAATATCCGAGCATATTTTCGCGCTGATTGGAGGCTGCTGCTTATTTTGAGGGGGGCATTGGAGTCTATAAGAAACCGCAAAATCGTAGAAAAAAATCGTCTGAAACCTCAAAAAAATTAGATCAAAACTGCATGCGAAACCTCGCGCAAAACCGCCAAAACCCATAAATTTCCGCATCCCAGTTATCAAGACCTTAATCGATCCGATACAATGGTGACAAATGGAGCTTACAGAGGTTTCGCAGCTATTCGATATCAGTGGAGGCGCATAATTTCCGCTCAGATGGAAGAGAAACTGGATACCAAATCCGAAAACCCGTCAGTATTTTTTACAAAAACCGAAAATCAAAAGCTAGAATAAGGAAAATTCGCAACCCGCAATGGACACAAAAACCGAAAAACTGAAATTTCTTAGTACAAAAAACCGAAAAAACAATCTAAAAAAGTAGTCAAAACCGCAAAACCGAAATTTCCAATGCCCCCCTCTATCTTACAATAGGTTTATTAGCATATAACATCTATCCTACCCTGCCAAAGTTTTCTTCCTCCTTCTCTCGATATTAAAGATTTCAACTACAGTAACCTAATCACTATTCAAAAACGTAACAATCAGCCGTTGTGCATGAGCACGTGCAATGCGTGCCGTTTCAACTACAGTAACCTAATCACTATTCAAAAACGTAACAATCAGCCGTTGTGCATGAGCACGTGCAATGCGTGCCGCACGTGCAATGCGTGCGGCACGTGCAATGCGTGCCGCACGTGCAATGCGTGCCGCACGTGCAATGCGCATCTTAATACGAAAAGCGTGTTAACACGCATGAATTTTAGGAAAACTTACAAATTGAAAGGATAAGAAAAAAATGTGTAGTTTTAAAACAACAACCATGAAGTAAAAGCCAAGCCGATTACAATATGATAACACAAGGTTTGATGCAAAAGACTTTCGGTCTCGTTATGATTCAAAATCCACTTCAAAAATAATCGTTGATTAACACAGAAAAAAGTACAATGGTTTAAACTATTGGACTTTAGTATAATTTCAGAGCTGAGCAAAGAGTTTCCAGCAATCTGATTGGTCGAGCGGTTCCTTATATGACGCTTTATTATATAGCCGTGTCTCACAAGGACTGGAAACTACCGAATTCACGAATTTGATTGGCTAAAATCAATATTGAAAACGGTCTAGATTTTTCCATCTAGACTGGCATCTAGACTGGTCTAGAAAAAAAAGGTACAAAGAATATAAAAAATTGGCATACAAGACACAGCCATATAATAAATACCTTATTAACCGAGCTAGGTCGGTCTGTATGGGAGAATCTCGACCTCGGTCAAGATTCTCCCATGCAGACCTCCCGCTCGGTCAATAAGAACTAAATAAAAACCGCTCCACGCGGTTTATATAAAATGTTAGTATAATTTCAGAGCTGAGCAAAGAGTTTCCAGCAATCTGATTGGTCGAGCGGTTAGTTATATGACGCTATATAAACCGCTCCACGCGCTTTATTAAAAAATGTTAAAACTAGATGTTAATAAATGTCACTAAAATGTTATGATTTTAGAAATTTCTTTGTTGTTGAGCTCTGAAATAATACTAAAACAGTTATTCCCCTCAGGTTCGGTGAATATTGTCGAATAATCCCCGAGAGGAAGTCGAGGGGATTATTCGCGGCATAGCAACAAACTTCAGATCCATTTTTATAAGTCCGCGAACGGTCAACGAACCTTTGCCTATAGAGAAGTTTCACTATTAAATTCCCCGAGTAGTGACCTAGTAATCTTGCCTTCAGTAAAGTCACTGAAACATTCTTTGAAGGACTCACTAAATGGGGCACATTAATAGTCTTTGTATGATACCCATTGGACATTTGTGATTGTAAACTGTTTACCATTGTAAATAGTTGCTGAAAAGTATGTACAGGAGTAATTATTAAAGTTCATTCATTCATTCATTAGACGATATTCACCTCGCCTTCGACGAATAATTGTTAAAGATAGACAGATAGATAGATAGATGGGGGGCTGGTATCCAGGCAATCTGAAGGGGCTGGTATCCAGGCAATCTGAAGGGGCCCTGATTCAAAAGCGAACAATACTGTCGTAGAAATGACTAATTATGTATAGAAACTGGAAGTTATAAAAACTTGTAATTTTTAATTCATGTTCAAATCTGCAAGGACTCAGCTCGCTTGATGGCTTGAGGCAAAGAATTAAATAAAGTCGACCAGAGTATATAAATTAATTTTCAGTCTTTCCCAGGCTTAGCTTTTGTCTGGGTCGATCGATATCTACCTTCCTGCTTCTGTTATTATGGGTGGAATCGATTGGTTATTCTGGATTAAAAAAAAAAACAAAATCACCAGGTTTTCTAGCCCTGGACTCAATCGAGAGGCAAATCAGTTGAAAATTGTCAAAGCAATAGCTAGCAAAACATTAATAAATATTTCCCCGGTATCTTTCGCACCAGCACTGGTGGTTGTTGTACCAAAGGTTACTTGAGTAAGTTTAGGATGATAATTGTTCCAAAAAGCCATTCGGCGAGGAGCGAATGAAAAAGCCATCTTGGATTTGCTGTCAACTCGAAGGTAAGCTCTGTGATTTGAGTTGTACTTCTCCCAAGTAACACCGCTTACCGGCAGCGGTGTTGGATCGCCATACTTAGCAAAGTTGGTATACAGTGCCATGATTGTCAAACTGATGTATTTGTCAACGTCATTATAGAACGGTAACGTCAGAGGTGCGCCAAAGTCAAAAGGCACGTTTTCGTCATGGGCCACACCCATCCACTCCGGAGTGGCACTCGCTGTCTTTGAACGGTGAGCGAACTCGTACATGTAAACTGGCGCGTATTTGCTGTGAATATCGGCCACCTCATGACTCGGTGCAAAGAATATGTAATCCCCAATAAGGTCAATAAGCTGGCTTCTCATTGCGTATTTGTCATTGTTGTCAGGCCATGGGGTGTACATGAATTCCAGGGCGTCTGCGATGAGGACAGCGGTTTCGTTTCTAGAGAGGGAAAAAATGAAACTATCGGCTTTGTTAGAGATCGAAGATTATGGCTCCTAGTTGTTCTGTTCATTTGAGTTATTACTAGTTCCCTTTCGTTTCGCCTTTGGCCAAGTTGGATGATTCTGGATTTGCTAGTGCAAAAACGGGATGCAATATCAATTAGGGGGTGTTTAGCTGATATGATACCAAATTCCCCGGCCTAACATCATGAGAATAGCCCATTTGCGAATTACCCTTGGCCTCATTTTCAAAACGAGTCCTCGTGCTAATCCTTTCATATGATAATAAGTTTCCATTCACATGCAAATTAAACTCATTTTCACAAGAATGGTTGAGCACGAAGAGTCGTTTTGAAAATGAGGCCAAGGGTAATTCGCAAATGGGTTATTGTATGGCAGACAATATGGTGAATTACAAATTAGGGTAGGGAGTCTGCGTGTCGGCTTTCATTTGGTTCGCTTTTTTTTAAAAGAGAAAAGCAGCACCGAATTTCTGATGATGATCACCTAGTTATCTTTGACTCTTGGAAGTGAGTGGCAGAAACGCAATAAAAAGTGTACGATCTTCATGAACAGTGGTCCGTCCCACCACATCCGCTTCGTCCTAAGAATGGGAGGGGGGCACGAAAGGTTTCAAAACTTCATTTCAAGACAAGGAACGACAAAATGTAACCAACCTGCTACTTTGCGCATCTGCGAGCTCTGTTACAAATTTCTTGAAGTATGACGGGCTAACACCATTGTCCACACTCTCTCTCAGTCCGAAAGAGGATTTCGCTACGGGTTCAAGAAAAGTTGAACCCTCGTTGCTGGTGAAACTTATCATCAGCGGCACTTTCTTGAACTCCCCTCTCCTGCGCATGTGCTGGGGAGAGTCATCAAGAAAATTTTTGTCCGCGATGGGAGCCCAAAGGACATACTGATGGTGGGTATTGTTCATTAATTCAGCGGCTTTCTGTATTTCGGAACCTTCTTTACCGCGTATGCAGTCAACCATTAAGGTGTGGTCGCTTGTTGTGCAGTCCAGCTTTTGGGCAAGCTCCTTGGCAAAATGCACACCGATTGAAGTAGGTTGAGTTGCAAACGGGCTCAAATCTACCCCGCTCTCTGCAATGGCTTGATGAAAAAGATTTCTTGACAGAGGTGAAAGTAGATGAAGGCTGACACTTGTTCCTCCGGCGCTTTTTCCAAAGATAGTCACCTTGCTAGGATCCCCGCCAAAGTTCCCAATGTTCTCTTTGACCCATTTTAGAGCTGCGACCTGATCCAACATTCCATAATTTCCGGAAGCAGCGGAGTCTCCGGTGGTCAAGAAGCCAAATGGACCGAGACGGTATTGAATCACGACTACAACCACCCCATGAAGAGCCAACATGTCGCTTTGAAATATCAGCGCAGTGCCACTCTCGTAACCTCCTCCATGAATGTACATCATCACGGGAAGACTCAAATTTACATTGGGGCTGTATATATCGAGGAACAAGCAATCTTCGCTGTAGATAAAATCCTGAGTAAACAATCGTATGAAGACCTCGTGGCTGTTATCTTGCCAGCAAATATTGCCGTATTGTTTAGCTTGACGCACGTTTGGTTTCCATTGTTGTGGGGGCTGTGGCGGTTTGAATTTGAGGTTTCCAGTCGGTGGTGCAGCGAACGGAACTCCAAGAAACATGCTGACAGACTTAAACGGTCCAGAGGCATTTGGGTAAAAACTTACAACACCCTCGACGTCGCCATACTTTGTGGAAACGATGGTTGATTTGATTTGGGGCATATACGTCGCGAAAAAGACAAGTTTCGCTAGAACCGTCGAAAACATCCTTGTTGACTTTTCTTAAAGATGATACGGACAAGTTCGAAACATAAATTCGTGACTAAAACGTAACAATAGATCAACGCCTGAGAGGCATACCCAACATGCCTGTAGCAACTCAAGCATGTTTGGGCAAGTTTGGGTTTGAGATGAATAAGCATGCATTTATAAATGATGCGCATAATCTGCTAACTGCAAGACTAGTCAAGCGTTTTTCATACTAGTGAAGGTTCCCCCGAAGGGAAAATTACGTTCTAAATAATGATGAGCTTGTGTTTTTTTTTTTGGCAAGTTAGACAGATTTTACTGTAAAAGGACATTTTATGAAAAAGCGTTCAAATCGAAGCTTTTTGGGATGAATTCATTACTGCAAACTGAAAAGTGCAAAATCTGTTCCTGCGAACAGAAATGTTAATAATTAAATTTTTAATTATTTTGAAAATCTTTTTATTAATTTATATTTACTCGCTTATTAATATATGTATGTTTAGCATCAGAGTCAAGCAACAAGAGATGTCCAGATAGAGCTGCTGGCTAATATATGGGAGCCCATGGATGGGCTCTTGTCGATATTTTCTATATCTCGCCGAGTTAAAAATGATTAGCCTAAGTAAAGACTTTCTAAGGTGTTTTCTCACAAGTTAAAGAGGAAGTTGTTAGAATCTTTTTTGAGGGCCTCAATGGGGTTTACCGATAGCCGTAAAACGGCCAAATAATTTAACCTTTAGGCGTAAAAAATTGACAACTTTTTACCATTGGTCGAAAAGAGTTAATTGTACAAAAAAACTTCCTAGTGACAACGATTGAAAGATGATAACCGTCAGTCGTAAAATGGCCAAAATTTTAACCGTTAGCCGTAAAAGCCATCACTCCCTTTGTGACCCCTCTTTTTGCCTGTGCCCGGAAGAGGGGCCATGAGACGAAATACAGACCCGAGAGCCCGTTCGCAGGCTCAACAGACGATGGTACATATATCTTATTAGACGTTTTGTTGTGTAGTATCGCTGAGTATTTTTACCAGTTGTGCCGTATTTTGACGAGCCCGTAGGGCGAGTCAAAATACAAATAACGAGTAAAAATACTCACCAATACTACACAACAAAACGTCTAATAAGTTATTTATTATCCAACACGCCAAACTGTTATTTCAGTGCGGGCGAATTTCGCCGATATTTATATACGGGGAGTGCGTGAAAAAGTATGCGAAGCGGAACGGAATTGGCGCGTTGTTGTGTTGCTGTTTCTATTTCTTCATTAAATGAAGAAATTTTCTGGTCGTCAAGCTGTTTTTCTCCGTTGGATTCATCTAATGAACTTGGATCTATATTTGCCAGCCATTCTGACTCTTCGTCGTCGGAAATAAAATTCAAATTGTCCGCCATTTGTTTTTTTTTCGTAACTACAATCCAATTCTTCGCTTGCGCGATGCGAGAAAACNGTATTTGTCAACGTTATCATAGAACGGTAACGTCAGAGGTGCGCCAAAGTCAAAAGGCACGTTTTCGTCATGGGCTACACCCATCCACTTCGGAGTGGCACTCGCTGTCTTTGAACGGTGAGCGAACTCGTACATGTAAACTGGCGCGTATTTGCTGTGAATATCGGCCACCTCATGACTCGGTGCAAAGAATATGTAATCCCCAATAAGGTCAATAAGCTGGCTTCTCATTGCGTATTTGTCACTGTTGTCAGGCCATGGGGTGTACATGAATTCCAGGGCGTCTGCGATGAGGACAGCGGTTTCGTTTCTAGAGACAACCTGTGCGGAAGTCATCATTGACTCTGATGATGACTTCCGCACAGGTTGTCGAAACGTCAGTCACTACCACCGACAACAGTCCTTCTCAGGACTTCACTCACCCGGACGATCAGACTACACCTTCACAATATCCCTAGTCGTCACTTTTCTACTCAGCAGCTGAGTGTCGCGATATGGGGAGACGGAGCTATTTCGGTCACTCTTAGGAGTGAAGTTGAGGGTTCATTTATATCGTCAACTAACAGAGGATATCCCAGACGGATCCATCAAAACTGCAAAATTCGTCAAGTGATTACATTCACAGGTAACTGTATCATTGCTATGGGACACCAGCGTACAGCCATCTTTCGACCAGCCACCACCTCTAGAATTTCTAGATTGAAATAATTCGCTTACTGAACAGCCAAGTTAAATGATTGACTTAATCGTTCACTCACCCCTTAGACATATCTCTCAGCTACAATGCTCCATAGAAAAACTCAGAGATTGCCACCTACTACTACCACTGCCGTTGGCATCAAAGTAATGAAAGTAACCAGGCTAAAAAGTGTAGAATTATAAATATGTATTGTTTCACTTTAGGGCTATACAATTAACCTTCTCCTCAATTACTGTGATTTACGAGGGCTAAGTTAGCTGCGATTTTTAAAAGCTTTTGCACCTCAAATAAATATGACTGTTATTACTTACATATTGTAATCCCAATAAATGCAAAGTACAGTACCTTGGGTCTCCCAAAAAGAAGAAATTTTAAATTAAACTGAGGTAAGCTTTTTATCGCCTTGTATTTTCTTCTCATAGCAGATGGAGTCAATGTAATGAACTTGACACTACCTGACTTACTCTTAAGATGTTTACTATTCAAGACAATGCATAATAATCTTCGTGTAAGTCGTTTAATCCTATCGCTTTTATGCCGGAAGCCTCCCAATAGGACACAGGTCGTTACTAGGGTCCAGTTGTATAAAGGACGGATAACGCTATCGAACGGATAAATCGCTGCTCAGCGGATAAGGGATAGCCCGAAACGCACTAAGCCATCCACTAGATCCAGATTTATCCTGTGGATAGCGTTATCTAACCTTTAATAACCGCGTCCACATGGTCTAATGGTAGTGAAAGGCTCTACTAGCCCTTCACTGTCACTTTCGTACATACAGGGTAGTTTTACTGAGGGAAAATCTCACTTCTTTAGGCGGCCGCTTATGTAAGCGTGGACTGAATTC